GCTGTTTTTGTGTTAACGGTAAATTTATATCCTTTCTTCTGTTGATAATTGTTATTTGCCGGTGCAGATTGGAGAGGAGTATCAAGATCATATGAAGAATATTCATACCCCTTTGCAAATTTTTTAGTTCGCATAGAAGACATTGTGTTTTTTTTTATAAAAGATAAGATAAAATTTTTTTCACAAAAAAGTTTACAAAAAAAGTTCAGCAAAATCGTCAAAGAGATCATCTTTTTCAACTTTTTTGACTTTTTCACCCTTTGGAATTTTTTTATTTTTTGACAATGACTTTATATCTTTCCCCAATTCTTTTTGCAAATCTTTTGCAAGCTGTTCTCCAATATTTCGAGGGGTTTTACCCTCGAGCTCCCCCTTGCTTTGCGGTGATTGTGTGACTCTTTCTTTGTTTGTTTTTGATGAGAATTTGTCGTAAATCTTTTCACCGATTAACTGTCCTGTCTTTTCTCCTATTTGCTCTGCTCCCTTTTCAAACGCTTTTGTGGCCGCTTTTTTGGCCATCTCTTTTGCAGCTTTTCCTGTGACTTTTGCGGCTATTTTTGTTCCAACATTTTTGAGAGTGTCAAATATCCCCTCCCCCTCTATCTCAAAAGGGGAGCTCGAGGGGGCTTGCCCTCTCGAATCGATATTCTGCAATATGTATTTGCCATCGGCATCTATTTTCATATGTTTTCGACCCATTTTATTTCAAACGCAAGAAATAAATTACAAGAAATAAAAAGGGGAGCACGAGGGGCTAGCCCCTCGTAGGGGAGCTCGAGGGGGTTTACCCTCTCGAAGGGGAGCGCGAGGGGCAGCATACCTCTCGAAGGGGAGCGCGAGGGGGTTTACCCTCTCGCATTATTTCAGGAGAAGTGTCAATGATACAGATGTCCCGTTGAGATCGATCGGTCTTCCCAGTGAATCGGTGATATAAACTTGTAAATCTTTTATTGTTCTTGTATTTATTTTACTATACTTTTTTACCCTTGGCTCTATATGAAAAGGATAAGAGAGGGGAAGATTGTCAACACTGAATCGAAACAACACATCTGATTGCATACCACCAACAACACTCTCTGAGATTATGTTTGTGCGAATGTAGATGTCATCAACAGATCTTGTTATATCAGGTGATTTTTCACCATAACTGGTTGTTGTAACGATCTTTTTTGTAAATCCAATGAGATCGGCAAAATTTCCACCTCTCACATCGACTTGATAACCATCTTCGAGACCGATCAGAACTTTGAGAAGTGCTGGAACAAATTTTATTGTAATGCCCGTTTTTGAATGTTTTGATCCCTCGAGTTCTCTCTGAACATAAGCGTTCAATTCAGAGTAGGCAAAATTTCCATCTGGGAGTTCAATCTCGTGCCACGTCATACCCGAATCGTGACTATATTTCAATTTATTGTTATCATAGCTGCTACTCACATTGTACCAACTGTATGACATTGCGACTTCATCGAGAGCAACAAAATAGTCTCTGTTTGGATCGAGTCTCATCACAGGATTGAATGTTGTTTTAAAATTATGACTAGATCCTCTCGCACAAGTTAAAGAGTTAAGATATATCGGTAATTCCATCAATTCCATATTTGCGATTTATGTTAAGTGTTTTTGTATATAGGCATCATAATGTTCTTTTGAAATTTTTTTCTTTTTGAGGAGGTGATCCAATATTTCTATAGCTTCATTCCTCAACTGAATACTTGAATTACCGGCATCGATACTCCCTGTCAATTTAATGAGTCTGTCTTTCAAATCTTTGAAATCAGAGAAAATGGTTCCTCCTAGAAGTTTTGCTTTTCCAGACGATTTATGCATGGGAATGTTTGCGAGTTTGTTCAAATCTTTGAATATTTGAATCGCCTTTGACGAATACTGTCCTTTGGGATTACATCTCTTTGTCAACAGATCAACGATCCCTTTGTCACCCTGTCTTTCATAAACAACAGCGCCGGGCGAAGGATCACACGCTTCGACCACCATTTCATTTATTAATCGCGTGGGGTTTATAAAGAGACCACCGTACTGTCCTTTGCTATCAATCTTGTAAGCATTTCGCTTCTTCTGAGCATATTTACGTGTATATTTACGCTTTGAGACCCTTTTGTGACCCTTACCCTCTTGCGTGACGAAAATTTTATCACCACCCGCAAGCAGATTTATGCGATCAATATATTTTCTCAGTGTATCGACTTGACGCACGATATCATCTATTTTATCTCTATTTTTTTTCACTATTCTTCGAATAACCGGCCTTTTTATGATTTGCTCTTTTGATTCGATCGACCACATCATTGTGCAGTCTATCATGATCAAAATCCTCATCGAGTATTCGTTTGAACGCTTCATTAGGCGTGGGAAAGCCGCTTTTTTGAATATAATCAAGTTCGTCTTGGCTAAAGCCGATTTGTGGATCGGGTACTTTTATTTTAGCTTTAGGTGGCTCGAGAGCTGTGGGAGAATCGGGTGGACTTTCAAAAGTATCGAGCTCTTTGAGAAAAGATAGATCGTGAGTGAGAGCTTTTTGATTCTCCTGCAATTGCTGAATCATTTTGTCTTGCTTATCGTCTATTGTCTCTTTGACCTGTTTGACCTCTTTCACAATCGGTTTGAATACTTCTTCACGTTCGAGTTCAAGACCTTGCTTGGCATGATTATAATCTTGCACTCTATTTTTGATTTCCAACCTCTTGTGATTTTTTTCAAGTTTGAGGTTAAGGTTTCTTTTAAACGCATCAACATTCATGTCTTGTGTGAATATTTGTTAGTAGACAATATTTTTTGTGAATTATGCGTGAATAATTTTTCGCGCACGCGTACCGGTGTTAGTGTACAAAAAAAAAATCCCACATGGAAGGGGTTGAACAACTCGATTCATATAAATATACATCGCGATTTTTATAAGAAGTGTTGATACCTGTGTGTTGTATATCATGGTTAGAAAAGACGGGGAGGCTTTCCATGCTATGCTCATGCAACGTATCACCCCCCATGGGTAGGTGAACAAAAAACCTCCCCGCCATCGGCCCATGGGGTTAATGTAGAAGAAATAAATTAAAGTTCAAAGATGGTGTTACATTCGTTAGGTAGAAACTCACCTTAAGCCAGATTGGGGTCAGAAGTGCCGCGATGTGATAACCTAGGACTAAATTAAATAAACCTTTGTCTAAAGATGGTGTCGCTTTGTTGGGTAAAACTACGGTCGCCGTCGGAAGTGCCGGTTCAGAGTCAAGCCTAGGACAAAATAAAGGTGAAAAATAAAAACAAAGCAACAAAACCTCTCAGAGGAACACAGAGGTGGAATCGAACAATCAAAACAAATATGTGGAAGCAGTTTACCATTCAGAACAATACACAGTATCTCGATATTCTGCCAAAGATTGTCGAAAAGTACAACAATCGAAAACATAGAGGCTTCAAAGAAAAAGAATGTGAATGCTGTCTTTCTGAAACTCTATTCGAGAGGGCTTGCCCTCTCAAGCTCCCCTTTGATGCCAAAGTTTGCGGTCGGCGATCACGTTCGAATCTCCAAATTCAAACGAAAAGTGTTCGATAAAGGATTCACTCCGAATTGGACAGAAGAGATTTTCATCGTTGATCAGATTCAATATTCCAACCCGATCACTTACAAGTTGAAGGATCTGCTCGGAGAAGAGATCAAAGGTTCATTTTACGAACAGGAGATGTTGAGAGCAAAGCAAGAGGTTTTCCGCATTGAGAAAGTTATTCGAAAGAGTAAAGGGAAAGCTCTTGTAAAAGATCTTAAAGAGATTTAAAGACAAAAAAAAATCACTTAAATGAATGATACAAAAAACAGTGAAAACAGTGAAAACAGTGAAAACCTTGACAATCTAACAAGAAAACAACTTTTTAAACAAGCAAAAAATATGGGTCTAAGAAGATATCACACTTTCAATAAAGCAAAACTCATAGAGTTGATAAAAAACCCACCAAAATTAGACGAACTCGAGTCGCTTTCAAATACTGAGCTGTTGAAAAGAGCGAGAGAGATCGGTTTGGTCGGTCGTTACAACCTGAAGAGAAAAGAATTGATTGAGCAAATCAAAAATCCACCTGTTAAAAAAAATAAAGTGACAAAGAGAAAAGTGATACTTCGAGAGATTCTTGACGAAGCGTTCGAAGATAAAGAACTTGTTTTTCAATCAATGTATGCCACTGCAAAACATTTTGGTATAAATCCCGGATTAATCGGTGCAAAGTTGGTTGGTAAAAAAGAAGAGAAGAAGAAAACAATAATCATCAATGATAAAAAATACACGATTAGATTTGAGTAGTAATCTACAATCCTGTTGGATTTTAAATTACTCTGCGAGAGGGCTCTCTGTGAAGGGTGGAATTGTATTTATATTGTCTGGAAGAATTATGCGTTTGTCATCATTTCTATTTAATGCAACTTTGTTGATTTCTTCCGTGTACATCTCATGCTTTCGACTTCGTAACGTCGTCATTTTTCTATACTGTTTTTCACCGTTGAATAAGCATCTTTTATAGTTTTCCATTTTGATTGTGTTTTTTACCACTTCTTTTTTCACACCCTTGCATTTTTTTTCTTCTTTTCCATCTTCAAACATTTTATAACAATAAAGCTTCGCTCTGAGACCGGCAAACTCATCGATGATCTTTCCACCGGCTTCATCTTTGAACATTCCAACAACTTTTTCATTCACACCTGCCTGTATTCCAGAAGGGTGATCTTTTGAAATGTTGCTCGTATCAAACAGATTGTGCACGTCTGATTTTATATCTTGGTAAAAGTCGTCGGTCTGAATCTCATAACAGAGACTGTCTGTGTCGGTGAAGAGAAGCTTTGCTTTGTCTTCGTATTTGGTTTTGATGTAATTGTAGTGAAAGTCGTGCATTAATGTCTTGCTGAGATCGAGTATGCACATTCCGAGATAGAGTGGTTTGTTAAAGAGAATTTGGGTCTTTCTCATATGAAAAGCGCATAGATTCTCGGAAAATATGGTGCAGTATTTGAAGTTGGGTTTGTTCGCCAACTTTGCTGCTTTTTTCGCTGAATTGACCAGTCTTACATCGACACGGTTTCGAATGTTTTCTATGGTTTTACCATACACAGCGTTGTTCATGAGCTTAAAAAAGTCTTTCTCAAAATCGTTGTCTGCTTTGGCTCTCAATGATGTATTGAGATCTATATACTTTTTCATCCAAGGACTTTCATTGAATCTGATGACGCGGTGTATCTTTCCAATCTCCACTCCCAGAGATTTATACATCTTCAATGTTTCATGATGAATAATGTACTTTTTCTTTTCATTCAATGTG